GGTGGTCAGGTGACATTGAGTCAGTTGTGACTCACAGTGGCCTTATGTACAACAGAACCAACAGAACACCACCGGGCCCTGCCCCACCTGCACCATTTGTGTGTTTGAGCCCGTGCTTGCAGCTGATCCAACTGGTTGAGGGGCTTCCTCTTAGGACAGCAGTTCTCAACCTGTGGGTCACAACTCCTTTGGGGGGTTCAAAAGACCCTCTCACAGGGGTCGCCTACAACCATCGGAAAACATAAATATTGCACAATATATAATTACATATTGTTTTGTGATGAATCACGAGGCTTTATGTTTAATTATCTTCATTTTGTAACAATGAAAATACATCCTGCATATCAGATACTACATTGTGGTTTATCACAGTAGCAAAATGACAGTGATGAAGTAGCAATGAAAATAATTTTATGGTTGGGGGTCACCACCACATGAGGAACTGTATGAAAGGGTCACAGCATTAGGAAGGTTGAGAACCACTGTCTTAGGGCAATGAAGGCTTAATGGCCTTGCGCATGGAAGACATGGCTAAAGTGCCCTCTGGTGGCCAAATCTAGGATGAAGGCTGGACCACTGAAAACCGTCAACGTCTGCAAAAAGCTTTTGCCACGGTGATGTTCATACACTGCAGTCTGTCAGAAACAAAGCAAGTGAAACCACCTCACTGCAGAGGGGAGTGGTTCAGTTGATTGCAAAACAGCCATACAATAAAATAGGATTCAGCCAGTATGTCCTTGGAGGGAAAGGTTTCAGAACTCCAGAAGATGTGAGTGTATACGTAAATGGAAAGCAGAGACCACAAAACAATTCAGTATCTGCTCATTTTCCTTTATCAAAGGGCAGACAGGGAAACAAACCGGACAAACAGATCAACCCACTGAAGGATAGCGTGCCAGCTGTTACCAGCTCCCTCTTGGTGGTGGGATTGTGAGGGCTCTGACGTCCTTCCTTCTTTCTTCCGGACTCTGTTTTCTAAATATGTTCTGTGCAGCATGAATTGCTGTGGAGTTGAAAGCCACCCCCACCCTCGATTTTTTTGTTTTTGTTTTTGAAGGAAGCAGTCATGAGCTTAACCCTCCCCTCGTACAGATTTAAAACAAACCAAGCACCAGCCCTAAAGTCAGATTGACTTACCCAAGTGTGTAGAAGCCCTGTTGGTGGTGATGAGTAAGTACCGGACTGACTTCAAGGTCAGCAGTTCAAAACCACCAGCCGTTCCACAAGAGAACGATCTAAAAGACCTGCTCCTATAAAGATGTACAGCCCTGGAAACATTAGATAGGGGTCCTATGACTCATGTGCATGTGACACGGTGGCTGCCGCAATGGGCTCAGACATCGCAGTGATGGTGAGGATGGTGCCGGACC